TGACCTGGCTCCGCCGGGAGGCTGGCGAAGCAGAGCCGATTGCGCATGCACGTCCTGCCCCGCCCCTCCTGCCACTCAAGCACAGGCCCCGCCCATCACGCTCTGCTCTCCTGGGCGAGTCCCTGCAGGGCATCTTAGGAGGCGGGTCGAGGGGTGGAGCCAGCAGGTGAGGGCGGGCCGGGCCTGCCTCTGAGTACCCAGCTGAGGTTTGGCTGATCTGAAGAAGGCCAAGTGCCCAGTGACCCGTGCTCCACCCTCTCCCGGGTCGTGACCCACGCGCGGGCTCAATCACAGCGGTAGTAATCAGAGCAGCAGTTTGCTTTTCTTTACTTGGCTCACCGTAGCGGTTAACAAAACTGTGCTTTGAAGTAGGCCTGACCCGGTTCACATCCCACTCGGTGACCTGTAAGGTCTTGTACAAGTTTAAAGGCATTAGATCTCCCTTCTGCTAAATGGGGGTGTCGACATTCCCCAAAGCAGTTGTACAAAATGCGATAATGCATGGAAGGGGCTTAGTAAATTTTGAGTTTTTTCATGAGGAGTTCTGCAGCTCCCAAGGGAGCAGCATACTGGACCCCGATAGAGAATCCTGTCATATCCTATGTCAACTAGGACAAATTATATTGCTCTCTTAAATTTTTTATTATTTTTTTATTTATTTTGTATGTGTATGTGTGTGGGTCAACTGTGTAGAGGTCAAAGGACAACTTGCCAAAATTGGGTTCTGGTCGAACTTAGGTAGTCAGGCAAGCACCTTTACCCGCTGAGCCATCTTGCCTGCTTTAAATTATTGTTATTGTTATTATTGAGACAGACTCTTATTGTGCAGTCCAGTCTACTATACAGCTGGCCTGGAATTTGCTATGTAGACCAGAGTGACCGTGAACTTACAGACATCAACATACCTGCCTAAGTTTATATATATGTCTTTTTGAGACAGGGTCTCCCTTGTAGCCCCAGCTGTCCTGGAACTCACTATGTAGACCAGGCTGGCCTTGAACTCACAGAGATCTGCCGGCCTCTGCCTCCCAAGTGCCGGACTACAGGCGTGTGCCACCATGCCTGGCGAGTATATATGTATGCATGTAAGTGCACCATGTTCATGAAGTGCTTGAAGAGGCCAGAAGAGGGAGTTGGAGCCCCTGGAACCGGCTATGTCCTGTTGTTGCCAGTGACTGCTGGGAACCAAACTGAGGCTTTTCTGTAAGAACAGCAAGTGGTCTTAGCCACTAAGCCATTTCTTTGCCCTCCTAAATTATTTTTGTAATTAGCAAGCAAAATGGATTTCACTAGGGGATATATACATATTGCATATATGTATGAAATTGTACGTTACTGAGCCTCAACCATCGGCAAAATAGCAACTTCACAATATTCCACCAGGCAGAAGCACATAAATCAGGCAATGAGATGGAGTCGCTACGGCTTTTGCAAACTGGAGACTGGAGCTTAAGAGCAGATGACTTGCTTAAACTTCGTGAGGCAGGGCCTTTGCCCCGCAATGTCTCGCCTAGCTGCACCCGGGTTGATCCTAGGCCTTCCTCCTCCCTCTCAAACCCCCAGGCACAGGGGATTTTCCTATTGCTCCCGCCTAAAATGCCGCGGTGACGCCCGGTGGGACAGGTCCGGGCGGCGCGCGGGTGCTTTCAAGTCCCCTGGTCCCGGGCTTGCAAGTGCGGGCCTGTGCCGGGCTCTGCAGCTGGAACATCTGCTCTCATGTGCCGACTCGCCGAGCCCAGAGCAGGGCCCCGCGGCTTCCCTGGTCTGCCTCAAGTATACCCACCCCGGGCCCCCTCGCCCTCTGGCAAAGCAGGCGTTCCCCCAGCGTTTCCACCCTCCCAAGGCAGCTCCAGGGGCCGGACCCCGAGGACACAACTACCTCCCACGAGGCTCCTACGTTTCTGTCCCTCTCCACCCACACGACCCAGCGCTGTGGCAAGAAGAATCTTGTTCAATCGTTTGCTTTCACTGTAATTCCTGAATTCAAGAATCCTCAGCGCTCCTAACTGGAACATAGGGATGTCTCCACCACCTAGGGGATATGCCCTCCACCTCCTGTGTATCACTCAGCCTCCATGTACTCCACAATCTGGGACTGTTGTAATGTAGCTTTTTCTTGCCGACATAATATGAACCCCGAGCATCTGCCATTATGGGGCAGAGAAAACTTTGGCCCACAGTAGTGACAAGCAAATAAACAAAAGCAATGCAGTTATAGCTAGGTCTGTGGTGAGGGCAATAGGGCTGTTAATACCTCCAACCCAGAAGGAAAGGAGGGGGTCATAGGAGCCTCACCTGGGAGTCCAGCCTTTTAGCTCTCCTGACCCCAGGAGATGCTAAGACATATAGGAGGATGATCAGCTGAGAGCAGGATTCCACAGTGATGTCATGATGGGACAGGACTTTTTGGTGATGTGCCTGATTTTGAGTCACTCATGCTCCTGTAAGTAAAGCCCAGTAAATTCATTTGTTCTCCAAGTTGGGCTTGGGTAGAATCATTTCTTTGGTCTGCAGTTGGTGCCAAAACTAGGATGAATAGATGTTTGTTCACAACTCCTCAGGAAAAACAGCCCAGTAAGGGTCTGTCCTACCTTCTCCAGCAAGACTATGGGACTCTGCACCCTTGGCTGGTACCCTGGATGGCAGAAAATTCTTCAAAGACAATGAAAATGTACAAGTGACATTGGTAGGAACAGTAGGTAGAGATGAGTCCTCCTGCCTTCAACAAATACTCAGTAATGGGACTGATGAGGTAGCTCAATTAGTAGAGTGCCTGCCTAACATGCACAGAGACCAAATAGAAAAAGATGTGGTGGCACAGCCCTGTAATCTCAGCACTGGGGAGGTAGAGGCAGGAGGATCAGAAGAGTTCAAGGCCATCCTCACCTACACATCAACATTAAGACCAGCCTGGGATACAAGACAACCTTGTCTAAAACAACAAACAAACATAGCCACCAACAGGACAGGTCCAAGATGAGAGAGAGACAGAGACAGAGACAGAGACAGAGAGAGATTCAGATACCCAAAGGTACTACAGAGACAACAACAAAATGAGGTTGGCAGGATGTCCTGGGCTACCAACTGAACAACAACCCCAGCCCATCACTGAGTATCAAAGAAACAGGCTCATCTCTGTCATGCTTGGGCGGGGACCTGGGCACACTGGGAGAGCCATTGCCTAGCATGTGTGAGACCTTGGGTTCTATCTGAAGCACTGCAAAAATCAATCAATAGGATGCTGGGGAAAAGTTAAGCAGGACATAATTCTCTGCATCTCCTTTGAGTATCAGAGGAGAAAATAGGAAAGGGAACACAGGAGGTTCAAAACAAGGTTAATTTGGCCAACTCTAGACTTCCTGGTAACAGCTTCAGACTGTTCTGTCCCCCAAAGGACAGTGCCCTTGCAGGGCTGACATCGGCTTCCACTTTCCTTGGCTTCTCCTGATCTTGGTACAACCAGAACCACATCTACAATTTGTATGGCCTAGTGGGAAATAAAAATAAGGGTCCTATCTTCAAACTTACTAAGAATTTCAAGTGTGGTGTGATGGCTCATACCTGTAATCCCAACACTTGGAAGACTGACTGAGGGAGGATTGCTGGATGTTCAAGGGCAGCCTGGGCTAGAGTGAGATCCTGTCTAAAACAAAATGAAAAAAAAGAATTTCAAGATGGTGACAGCAAGACATTAAAGAAAGGTTTTGACCCTTCTAAGCACCAGGAATCTTTAAGGTTATACAGGTGGCACATTCATAAAACTGACCCCCCGTGTGACTCAGAAAGCCTTTGAGCTCCTCCCCACCCCCATGTTCTCTTTGCAGCTGAAAGCCCAGCACAGATGATGGAAACAGTGCACAGGAGGCTAAAAATACAACTGAGTGTGTCTAGGTCATAGCGCTTAAGAGCTCAAGTTCTTTCAGTTATGTGGTCCTGGCCTCCAGCAGCGAGCAGCCCCAGATCCTCATTTCAATACTTTGCATGCCTGGGGCAGTTAGGAGCTTTATTTCATGGAAAGAGTGAGACCTGACCTAAACTGATGGAGTTTGGGTCGGTTGAATGCCTGAAACTCCAATCAGAATGATTTCTGCTCTAAATGTCATGTGTCAGGCATGGTGGCACATGCCTTTAATCCCAACACTGGGGAGACAGAGGCAGGCGGATCTCTGAGTTCGAGATCAGCTTGATCTACCTAGTGAGTTCCAGGCCAGCTGGGGCTACAGGGAGACGCTGTCTCAAAAAGACCAAAAAAAAAGACTGTCATGTTGCAAAGAGACAACACAAGGGAGTCTGGTGAGAATGACAACCCCAAACATCTAGTAAGGATTCTACTCAACAGGCATAATCTTAACCCTAGGGAGGCAAAAGCAGGAAGATCTCTATGAGTTCAAAGTCAGTGTGGTCTACATAGGGAGCTCCAGGCCAGCCAGGACTATGTAGTGAGACCCTGCCTCAAATAAGATTTTATGGGCTGAGAGATGGCTCAGTGATTAAGAACACTGACTGTTCTTGTAGAAGACCTGGGATCAAATCCCAGTGCCCACATGGCAGCTAACAACTGTCCATAACTCCAGTTCCAGGGCATTCGACAGCCTTTTCTGTCCTCCTTGGGCATTGCACGACATGGGTGCACTTACCTACATGCAGGCAATACACACATACACATAAAATAAAAGTAATAAAACATTAAAAAAAAAAAAAAAGGAGAGGTCAAATGGCTTGCCCAAAGGTCATGTGATGGAAACTGGGCTCTAAAGCCAGGCAGTGGAACTTCAGGCCTAGGCTCTTAACCATGCTAGGAGGGGCTAGAGAGATGGCTCAGCAGTTAGGAGAACTGGCTGCTCTTGCGGAGGACCCAGGTTTGATTCCCAGAACCCACATGGTAGATAACAACTGTCTGTAATGCCAGTTCCAGGGGATCTGACACCCTCTTCTGACCTCCATGGGCACTGCATAACATAGGTATACTTACATACATTCGGGCAATACACCCATACACAAAAAATAAAAATAATAAATAAAAAAAAATTTTTATGTCTTTTTGAGACAGGGTCTCCCTGTAGTCCCAGCTGACATGAACTTACTATGTAGACCAGGCTGGCCTTGAACTCACAAGGATCCACCTGCCTCTGCCTCCAGAGTGCTGGGACGAAAGACTTGCACTACCACACCTGGCTAAAATTTTTTTTAAAAAAAACCACACTAGCTGGGAATGGTGGTGCATGCCTTTCATCCCAGCACTGGGGAGGCAGAGGCAGGTGGACCTCTGTGCGTTCGAGTCCAGCCTGGTCTACATAGCAAGTTCTAGGCTAGCTGGAGCTACAGGGAGACCCTGTCTCAAAAAGACCACACACACAAACACACACACACACACACACACACACACAAAATGCTAGAGCCAGGCTTTAATACCATATTTAAAAAATATATAAATAGGGGCTGGAGAGATGGCTCAGTGGTTAAGAACACTGGTTGTTCTTACAGAAGACCCAGGTTCAAATCCCAGCACCCACATGACAGCTAACAACTGTCTGTAACTCCAGTTCCACGGGATCTGATTGCTTCTTCTGTTTTCTGCTGGCATTGCATGACATGGGTGCACTTACTTACATGCAGGCATTACAGGCATACACATAAAATAAAAATAATAAGGCTGGGCGTTGTGGCGCATGCCTTTAATCCCAGCACTCTGGAGGCAGAGGCAGGCGGATCTCTGTGAATTCAAGGCCAGCCTGGTCCACATAGTGAATTCCAGGACAGCTGGGGCTTCAGGGAGACCCTGTCTCAAAAAGACCAAAAATAA